TATTTCCAATGAGAACCATTCGAATATTGTGAAATGTTCACAAAATCCGAATTGACATAATAACAATTTATAATTGAATACAAACAAGATTATTATCAAATATTAAAAAAATCGAATTCAATAACCTCGTACGGAACATATAGTAGGTTTTATGTTGAAGATATCACGTCTTATTAATATACAAAATAAAACAATAAAATGAATAAGCTCAAGTGTGAGCACCACAGTAAGTATGGAGGATAATGATATTACCCGGCTGCTCAAAGCGAACCAGTTAAAGCGGGGTTCGCACCTAGACCGTAGTTGTTAGAAGCCTAACAACTCACCCACTGAGCTACTACTAGATGAATTCATTTTGCTATGCAATATACCAGTACATAAAACCAGTTGTTAGCATATACGGTGACTACGAAGGGTCACCATATTTTTGGAGGTACTTGACGGATCGGTGATTTTAATAAGCACTATCGAATTTGAAATACTATAGTATTCAAATAGAAGTAAGGTTAGTACTCTACGGTATAAATCACATCTGTTGGACACTAGTTATATATAGGCTATTCAAATACTGAATTCGAGGTTTCGTATTTCCTGGAATTGTTGCTTCAGGACTGGCCTGCGTCAACACCTGAACTAAGAAAAGGGAGTGAAGTAGTCGAACGCGTTGACAACTTCACTTATCTTGGAAGTCTGATCAGCCATAACGAGTTGGTGTCTGACGATTACCACGACGCGCAATGCTAACCGGTGTTGGGGATGGTTGGAAGAAATTTAAGGGCGGACAAACCAAAACGTGGCATCAGTGCTTGAAGTCACCAACTTCTAGTCTGGGCCATGTTGGCAGATGTAGACTACTTGGTTGGTGTCCGTGCGAATATCGTAACCAGCGGTTGGAGACTGTGGGTGACATGGCTCAGAATCGATCACATTGGCGTAGGTGTATATACTCCCTGTCTTCCCTTAAACTAAGAGATTAAAATCACTTCATATCTTTCTTTCTAGGAATTAATTCTTTCTTCCTGTACAATATCCTTATTGCAATCTTTCTTTTATATATTACCACCTCTGAATTAACTACTTTTATGAATCCGGTGTCCATCTTGTTGTGTTAATGAGGTATGGCAACCTGGACCGATGCATATATGTGCCTGGTCCAACGTTGTAGCTGACTGAGTGATTTCCTGGAAAGAACTTTACGACTGTAAACAGAAAGCCATAGGAAATGATGATACGTGAAGTTTCAGGATAAAAGCTTTCCTAACTACAATTTCTTAAAATAAAGAACCAAAATGATGGTCATATAACTGAAAACCTTACAGCTCTCAACATTACTAAATGGTATGTACGATAAAAGTGAGGGGTAGTGAACTAAATTATATATCAGAATTAAAACAATTCAGATGAATGTCATGGCTAGGACACCTCATATTTTATAATCGATAAGTTGAGGCTAACCGAATACATCAGTGACCCAACCGTTATTGCTACCGTGACGTGGTGGTCGGGCTTGCCTATCGTGATGAAGCAACCGAGCTATACTGGCTGAAACAACCGTTCCTCAAGGTCCTACCATGCCAGACAGGTCGGTTGAAGAGCGGTAAGACTAAAAGCAACAAACCCAAGGTCTGGAGGCGAAGTCGTACTGCTGACTGTACAGAGGTGTGACAGCAGTAAGGTGTTTCCTTCAGAAAACCAGCATGACAGCGATGCTGCCTTCCCACAAGGAGGGGTGGGGTTAGAAAAGGTCGACCCTAAAAATGCACACCTCGCCTTATCCAACGGATATCCGTCTTTGGGGATAAGGTCTCAACAAGTACGGAGCTAACACAAAAATTACTCATAAAAAGGCCGTGTGTGACCGACCTCAAGCAGTTGTACCTTGGGGACTGCGGTCACGCTCTCAGGTAAATCTAATTTCCTTTCCAGATACCTCCGAAAGAACCCTTCCACTGTGTGGGCAACCGGGAAGTGATAACCGCCCTCAAACCTCTAACAGCACTCAAGACCACTGTATTCATAATCAGCCTCCCTCTTCAATTCCTATTATTCCTGCTACATCGACTTTCAATGCTAAACGTCCTCTTTTGGCTTCCCCTCAAGTGTCACCATAGCCAACGATTCTAGTGCGCGAAACACTGTCCCAGGTCTACTGAAACCTCGCTCCACACTACACATTGGAGCCTTCAATGTACGCACCCTATGTCAAATCGGTCAACGGGCTTCCCTGGCTAGAACCCTAGAATCTCTTTCCATTGATGTATGCTGTGTCTCCGAAACACGCATACAGGATCCCAGTGTGGTCATTCACTTGACCTCACCTCGGCAACACGGAGAGCCAACGAGGTACACCCTCCGTGTATCTAGTGACCCGATGGCCAATTCTCGTGGACTGGCACGTGTGGGCATAGCACTAAGCATGAGGGCGGAACAAGCACTATTAGAGTGGATCCCCGTTAACAGTCGCCTATGTGCTGTTCGGCTAAACGGCTCCGTAAGAACTCGGAAGGATAGGGACACACGTCGTTGTCTTTTCGTCATTTCTACCATTTAGGTGGGTATTTTAGTATCATGGCTCAGCAAACAGATAACGGTGATCGTCTGCTGCAACTGTGTTCAGACAATCGTTTATTTTTAGCAAACACAAATTTTAAGCATAAGGAGAGACATCGTCTAACATGGCGACCCCCTACACCAAACCAACGATGGACTCAAATAGACCATATTGCCATCAGTCATCGTTGGAGAGGGTCGGTATAAGATTGTCGCTCATTCTGGAGTACCTGCCTGGACTCCGACCATGCACTAATGCGGGCACGCATCTGCTTGTGCCTCACTGGGCGCAAAAAAGCCACACTAAAAAGACCCAGAGCTGAATTGAGTAGCGAGAAAACCAAAAGTAGAATCTAGGAACAACTGAGGTCACACTTAAGTAGTCCAGAAAACGAGGCCAAACCAGATGTTTCTTGGAAAGATATACAAGTAGCTGTGGAAACAGCAGTGACATCTATCAGTGATTTAAACCACAGGGTTACAAAGAATCAATGGATTTCGTCAAGGTCTATTGCACTGATGGATTCTCGCACACTCATCCCATCACAGTTCTGAACTCGATGAAAAGCGTAAACAAATCAGGTCTCGGTTAACCAAAAGTCTAAGGAACGACGGTGAGCAGTGGTGGACAATGAAAGCAAAAGAGATGGAAAAAGGGGCGACTATAGGGAACACAAGACAGCTTTACAGATTAATAAGGGAAACTGGAATTAATAAGTCAAGTGTAAGTGAGATTATTTCGGAAAAAGACAATACTCTCATCTGCTCCCAGCCCAGACGTTTAGGACGATGGGCGTAACATTTCAGAGAACAGTTCAACTGGCCTTCAGCTACTCTACAACTACCCTCCATTCCCAGACAGTGTGAATGGAACATTGAAGTAGGTCCCCCAACTCTAGCTGAAGTTCAAGAGGCTATAGCTAATCTGAAACGAGGAAGAGCAGTTGGTCCAGATGGATTGGCTCCAGAGGTCTTTAAGTGTGGTGGTCCAATTTTAGCGATTAGGTTGAGTAATATTTGAGCTAAAATCTGGGAGTTGGACGTAATCGCATCTGACTGGTTGCAATCACCGATTGTCCCAATACATAAGAGAGGGTTAAAATCATCCTGTGATAACCATAGAGGGATTAGTTTAACTAATATAGTATCTAAAATACTAGCCTCGATAATTATCGGGCGCCTAGCTAAGACTCGTGAACTGCAAACACGAGAGAATCAAGCTGGCTTCAGACATGATCGTGGCTGCATCGACCACATATTCACCATTCGTCAGGTTTGAGAACACAGGCATGCTTATCGGCGTCCGACAATGGTGGTCTTTCTTGACTTAAAAGCAGCATTTGACTCTGTTGACCGAGAGGTTCTGTGGCAGTGTGTCATTGAAAGGTGTAGTTCAGAAGTGCATAAACCTTGTGAAGGCTCTTTACTCGAACACTACCAGTTTAGTCAGAGGTTATGGCGAACTGTCATCTGATTTTTCAACCTCAAGTGGTGTTCGTCAAGGCTGTCCACTATCTCCATTTTTGTTCAATTTCATCATAGATCTACTGATGGAAACAATGTTCTCGTTGACTGAATTTTCGGGAATTGATCTCCTACCAGGAGGTCCGTTTATCGACTTAGAATACGCAATGATATAGTTCGGTTTGGTGAAGACGCTGATAAAATGCCCAGGATGTTTGTGATGCGTTTCTCTCGCTCTAATTGCGAATTGTTGCTCCAGGACTAGCCTCGTCGACTGAATTTCCGAGATATCCGTCTCTCAATTAAGGGACGAGTATACTGCGCAGCAGTTCGATCTGTTCTACTTTACGGCTGCGAAACGCGACCATTGAGGGTAGGAGATACTCGTAAGCTACTAGTATTTGACAACAGATGTTTTAGAAATAATACTGGTATCTGCTGGGCTCACCGGGTAAGTAATAGTGAGGTTAGACGTAGGGTATTGGGGAATGGTGGTAAATCAGTTGATGAGGTTGTGAATCTTCATCGACTGAGATGGTTGGGCCACGTGTTGCGTATGCCTGAACACCGATTACCACGACGCGCAATGCTAACCGGTGTTGGGGATGGTTGGAAGAAATTTAAGGGCGGCCAAACCAAAACGTGGCATCAGCGCTTGAAGTCACTAACTTCTGGTCTGAGCCATGTTGGCAGATGTAGACTACTTGGTTGGTGTCCACGCGAATATCGTAACCAGTGGTTGGAGACTCTTGGTGACATGGCTTAGAATCAATTACAATGGCGTAGGTGTATACATTCTTCGTCTTCTCTCAAACCATGAGATTAAAATCGCTTCATATCTTTCTTTCTAGAAATTAATTCTTTCTCCCTGTTTTATATCATTACGTGCAACCTTTCTTTTATATATTACTACCATTGAAGTGACTACTTCTATGAATTTGGTGTTCATCTTGTTGTGCTAATGAGGTGTGGCAACTTGGACCGATGCGTATATGTGCCTGGTCCTACGTCGTTGCTGACTGACTGAGTGACTTAAGTGTTAACTACCAACCCACACTTCGAAAAATAGATTCCTGGAACTGCTCCATTTGTGGACATGAATATCTTACTTATTAGTGAGTAAAAATTATTATTTAAATATTGGTTGAGGAAATTAAAGACAAAATCCATAATAAAAGAATCTTTATTTTTTCTACTTTACTACCAGGTCCCGAACTGTTATTAACAAAATATTTCGTTGATTTCTGTGTGATAATCGAAATAAACGCCTTAGTAAAATAGATATCTGTATACTCCATCATCTTTTTCAGTGACGTTTTATTGTGTGGTTTATTTAGTTTTGTTGTATAACAGTTTAGATTGATTTCTACTAGATGGAGGACATTTTGTCAGCTAAATGTCATCCCAGTGACCTTAAATATATCCCCAATGTAATACATACATAATGTGAAGTGCATGCACTGAGTACACTTAAGACCAAACCAGTTAACATACATAAAACAATATCGGTCTGTAAAGTTAGGGTCTATTAATTGTTTATGAATATTCGATCAGAAAAGCGCAGACTGTGGTCACATATATATTTAAATTTATAACAGATTTATAATACTAGACAATAATTTAAGACACAACCAGTAATAAACTATTGGCAGAAACTTACTAACTGACGTTCATTTTTACATCGTATGCGGACGTGAACGTATACTCGATCATCACCACTGTCCAGTTTAATTTTGTCACAATCATCTACAATAATATGCAACGAGTATGGAATTTCTTGTTGTAATTTGTTGAGACAGTGTGACCATACACACATTCGTATGAGTTCACTTGGTTCTTGATCAGTTATAATTGTTGGAGGTAGGATCCAAGAGCGAGTCGGTAAAGCTTTGGATACAAGGAAGTCCTATTGTAAAACGTAAGAATTTTTCCTATTTTATCTGTAAAAATCAGTAACTTAGAAATAGAAGTAAACTAATTCTAATTGTTATTATAGTAAGAGTTTCAAAACCTTATACAAGCTCAACAGTTCATTTTTTGAATAATTTCCAGTTGGGTAGAATCACAACAAATATATAAAAACTTAATACTAAACTTTGTATATATCTATAACTCACCCTCAATTTGTCTATCCCATCGCCTATAAACGAAGAGACCATGAAAACCTCGCTGAAACCTAACCACTTTGTAACCCCTTTAGTTGATTTTGTTATCTCTAACCAACGACTTCGACGATTGCAAACTTCCTCAGGTGATGCTGTTTGAAGTAATAATTGTTGTTTTAACGTCTCCAACATAGAATCTATATGTTCTGAATCACTGTTTGCATTCAGAATTCGATTCGATTCACCACATGTGTTCAAAAGATGTTGGTTGATTTCAGTCTTTGATTTATCAGGACCTTGACTATCTGAAGGCATTAATTTATCATTTCCCGGTATGTTATGGCAATCAAAAAATGTTTCCCTGTGTTTTTTTTCCATTTCAGTTAAAAAACGATCTTCTAGGAAGGCTAAAATCAAAAGAAATGAAAATAAATCAATACTTATGGCTCATTATTATGATGTAGCCACCAGTACGACATTACATGATTTACGCCGGATTGTATTTAATAATAGATATTTCTGGGGAATCAACTAGCATTGACGAAAATTGATTTATAAATATAAAACAATCACAACCTATGTAAAAAATTAGTAAGCTCTTCAAAAATCCGAACACCTGCTATCAAACAGAGCTATTAAAGGCAATAATGAGCATTAGTGAGATCGACGTGTACGTACGCAAGTTGTTCATTAGATTTAATGTGACAGGAGACTACAGTGTAATATAATCAGCGAACGAGGAAACTGAAATTTTCTAGATTCCTTTCCTTCAAACAAAACACCCACCAAACGCAATCCTAAAAGAAAGGTGATAAACAAAGTAATTACCATTTAGACATGGTATTCCAGTTAACTTAGGTGAATCAACTACTTAAAACATTTTTTAGGTTGCCGAATGCAGCTAGATGGAGACCAGGTCAAATATATAAATAGCTCACTACGAACATATATGCTGAGTTTGATCAGATAGCATAACATGGACCGAGACCTATACTAAAATACATTCGTTTCCCAAGTTCACTGAAAGCAATCATCAAGAAATATTCTCCACATACTCGAGAACATTATTGATTTAATCCCCCTGAAACTCACTGAATGATTTAATCGAGTTTCAAAAGTACCTTCACATTCTCATCCAGCGTAACAAGTCAAATAAAATTACCACTTTGATTAAAGCCTTCTTTGCTTAGACTTGAAGCCTCGATTATTTTTTAAAAAATGAAACAGTTGCATTTTACATTTGCGTCAAATCACATCATCCATATAAAAGGCATACACAATAATATGAATGTAAGCCGATTGGTCAAATACAAAGTTATCTAACCAATCAGTGAGTTACATGAGTATGAATATCTGAGCAAACATCAGTTCACTTGAAGTTGAAGAAACGTGCTTAAATGAGTACTTATATTGTTGAAATATAAACGAAGTTGAGTTATCCAACGTTTGATACCCAACCACTTAATATCAGATCCAGTCATGATTGCAAACTTGATCAATGAAAACATGTAAGCACTGGAAACCAGGAGACATAATCCTAGTTAGTACATAAACCAACTTTTCAAGACTATAAACGAAATAACTGAGAATTCTGACGTGGTATGGATTCAAAACGCCCAATTTATGATTCCGAACATGTGTTATTTGTAACAACCCCACAGGGAACACTAATTACTAAACAACAGTTCGGCACACGTAATAGCAGTCAGCTATCTGTCATACAGTGTGAAGGAGTTGGTGACTCAAGCTAAACTATACATCTCAAATAAAACCATTAAATTATTACGAACCACTGACATCTTAGCACCACTAAGAATATGTGACACCTCTAACAGCACTCGAGACCACTGTATTAAGTAATCCCGAAGTTGAAATAAATTCATAGCTAACGAAAATTGCATTATATTTACGTCAGTTTATCCACAAGCACATGGTTAGGAGACATTTGGTACGCAAAGACATGTGTGGTCGCAATAATACGATGTTAGGTTAAGTGAAATCAAAATCGACGAACCATAAACAGGGAAAAAACAAGACAAATTTATGCCAATATTAGATTGAGTAGTTTGACAAAAATTGAACACCGAGTATAGAGAAGCCAGTATTTGTGAAAATTATATTTGAAATAATCCAACGGTTCGTCTAGTAGACTTGTCTGGACTTCGGCAGGGTAATAATCAAAATTATCAAAGAATATTTAATATTCAACAGTCAAATTAAATCTATACTGTGCTCATCCAATCATATTCAGATCCTGACTTTAGTAAGTGGGATATTATGCTTGTTTGATTTATTAATAGTTTATATTAAGTGTTAATTTGCTTTTTGTTTATTAGAAGTAAGAATAAAAATGTGAATTGAAAATGTTTTTGAAACATCGATGTGTATGTAAAATAAGAATCACCAAATACATAATTGTAATGGCAAAATATTCAAATTCATTTATGTAAAAATAACGGTTCATGAGAAGTAAACAGGCTGGACAGAGTTAGGGTCTAATCACTTGTTAATGACTATTTGCCAAGGGGTGACTAGTTGAATACGGCCTTTTTTTGTTCAGGCCGGTCTTATTAGCCCATATATACAGCGCTTCTGCTGTAGGTCTTTTTTTATGCATGCCAACTCTTTCCGAAGTATTTTGGTCCTTTCAAAGTTCATATTGTGTCCTGTTTCTAAAGAACGTAATGCTATCCACGACCTATTCTCAAGTTTCTTAAAATCAACCGACTATTTGAGAACATGTTTCAAGCATTGTTTGTGTTCCTTCAACCTTACAATCATGACAATTATTCTCATAGACAACGTTCTGTTGTTCTTCCTCTGGAAATTTATCATTTCATTAAGGCTGATATATTATAGTACCACTGGCCCGAAAATACACTCTTATATTACGTTTGTTTAAAATCCTCTTAATTTATTCTCTTTTCTTTACGGAATGGGATGGTCACGGTATTCTCCCATTCTTTTGTTATACGCTTTAACTTAGTTTTTCTTCCATTTCTAACAATCTTCTTTAAAAACTCTTTAAAGTAATGGTTTAGCCTCAGTGTAGACAATATTAAGTCCAATTCAGTCTATCGATCTCCCTTTTCTGTAATCAGACTACAGCAAGCACGAGCTGAACTGTACCTCCCAGAACGTGTTAATTTCTTGAATACATTAAATTTTAACTTATTATGTCTTTTCTCGACCAAACAATCGAGAAATGCTAGTTTGTATTCAGTGGACCCTATCTCCTTAGCTAACTTAATGCTATCTGATATGTTGTTTAAATTTTCATATATTTCTTCCCAACCATTTTGTTTAACGGTAACAAAACTGTCATCTACATACAATAACCAAACTTTGGGTGGATTTACACATCATGTAATCGTACTGGTTTCAAAAGAATCCATGGATAAATTCGCTACAATCGGAGTTGATGAATCGTAAACTCAAATCTGCATCAGATTTTAAACAATCATAAATAACATCCCATGCTGTATTGATAGGTACATTAGTAAGTAAGGAGGAAACATTAAAACTTGCAATCAATTCATTATCTTCCATGTTAATGATATCAATATTATTCTTGAATTCAGCAGTTTTTAATCTAATGATCAACCAATTTGTTATATGGTTTGAGTATCTTAGCTAAGTATTTCGCCAGTTTATACGTCGGTGAATTTGTAAAATCAACTACCGGTCTTAGTGGTTTATTATTCTTGTGAATCTTTGGTAGTCCATAGAATCTACAAGGATTACAAATTTATGGATATAATGTGAACCATAATGACGGTCCTAGTTTTATTTTAATCGACTGTATGCTTTTGCTCGTTACAGTCTTAAGCTTATTAAGTATGGTTCATAGTTTCGTTTCTTTGATCAACTCGTACGGGTTAACTTGGAGATGTTCGCTGGCCTTCTTTTCGTAGTCTGATTTGCTCAAAACAGAAGTCATGTTCTCCTCATCCGCTCTCGTGATGATAGTTGGCCTGTTATTTCTCAGCTGTTTTGATGCATAGAACTCATCTTCGGTTAGATTGGAAATGTATGGTTTTATATGTAATAAAGTGGGCGCAACTTTATTTTTCAGTTCATTCTCTGTTTCATTAGAAAGGCAATTCAATGCCCGTTCAGTTGCAGTTACAATACTGAGGAGTGATAATTGTTATCTATTTATATTGGAATTAAGATCCTTTTTAAGTAAAAACATTTCGTGAGTACTTAGACTTCTATCTGATAAATTAACGACCAATTTGTTAATATCAAATTTGTTACATTTGTTTCCAGTTTACTGAACTTTGTAGTTAGATGTTTATCTTATGATTTTTTGAATTATTTAATCTGTCGCTGTTTAGACGATTAATAATAAAACTGATATGTGTACGGGAAATGTAAACTGAACAAGAGAATTGACTGTAAGAATTACTAGGCAAAATATTTCGGAAACGATATTGGCCACAACGTTAAACATATTCTCTAAGTGATTAGGATGTGATTTTTATGGCTTTGTTATACTTCAATATCGCGCAATACTATCCCTTTTCACCAATAAAACAATATATTTACTCAAAGTTAGTGGTTCCTATCGGAAACTGATGGTAGTCAAAAACAACTGTATAACAGAAGTTGATAGGGTCGGTTTATTCTGCTTAAAAAACTCATCTGACCTGTAGATCGAAGCCTTTTTTAAATTTAACTGAATCACCATAAATACTAATCTGGAGAAATTAGCTGATTTCTATCTTAATATTATACTATAGTGTACATGATAATGGAGGTGGTGCTTTTTAGAGTAATAAAACCCAAAAATCGACAAAGTATAAAAATTAGTATTTGAAAATGTAGGATTGGATCCGAATAACACTTACTATCAGATAGTGATTTTTTCTCCACTATATTATCTGGTAGCAACTTAGAATCTGTTATATCCACATCAACCTGTGTCGATTCAATTTCAGCCAGAAGATTATTCATATACACAAGAAATTTATTCGTTGTTTGGTGGCATACAGCAGGTAATCTAGCTGCAATCAATTCATTCGGAGGAATGAGATGATGAGCTGTGTCAGCTAACTTTGCTTGACGTTTAAACCGATATGCATATCTATCAATATGTGAACGTCGACCACGTACGATGCCACCAGTAAGTTTCCGAGTTATGTCCAATAGTCTAGTTGGATTTTTAGACAATCTATCAATCTATAGTAATATTGATTAAAAGAGCGAATAGAAATAATACGATGAAATTCATATTGTTTTTTAGAAACTTCGAATCACTGAGGGAATATTTTATTTACCTTGTTTAGTACTAATACTGATTCTTTATCGTTAAAGAAATGTAGTGCTTTTACGATTTCTTCATGAAGTACTTCGCGTGACTCCTTATGGCTGACATCAATAACCACAAGAACTGGCAATACAAAAAAGACACAAAACAGGTTAAATATTACCTAAAAATCTCTAAGATTCATAAAACATTACTTAACCTATCTTCTGTTTTGGATATTTTTCAGTTAATACATTAATTTCCTGACCAACATTATTGCATTTCAATAGGTAATCATGAGATTTGAGGATTAGTCCCCTGAGAAAATTATGGATTCGGTCACTAAAGTTTAATCAAATCGATCGAAACATCATAAGAACTAATAAGATGCACATACGGAGGGGATATTCCAACCTTTTGTGCCAGATTTTATGCAACACGCATTTTAAATTACCAGGTGTAAATTGAGCAAATAGTTAAAACTAAAACATCCCATATAGTTAGTTGAATTGTATAAAGTAGATGGGATGAAGCCAAGCGTTTTCACGATTAGCAACAAACCGTTTTGATCTGCCTTGTAAGCACCCTTGATTGATGAAAGTCTCAAATATTGAAGCCAGTTAGTAGTATACGTCATGTCCCTGACATGGACGCATTCTAGCTGTGTTAGTGCTACCAAGAAGATAATCGTACAATTTTACAATAAGGTGTGCAGTGGTTTTAAAGATTAGTTGTTGCAATATTATTAGCTGTGATCTCCAAATTGTATCTGCACTTACAATAGAATATAAAGCAGCTAATATTATTAAGTCGAATAGTATTTGAAGATATTATTTCCTTAAAGTTTCGCACATCGTTCTAGAAGATATGTGGAACAATTTAAGGAGCAGTTCAGCTGGCCATCTCCAGCTACGTAGCATTTCCAAACAGCCTAAATGGAACAGTGAAATAGGTCCACTGACTCTAATCGAAGTTCAAAAAGCCATAGCTAATCTGAAACGAGGAAGGGCAGCTGGTACATATGGATTAACTACGGAGGTTTTTAAGGATGGTGGTTTAGTTTGATGTATATTATGATGAGTTCCACTCAGCTGATTGTTCAACGATGATCCGTAGTGTCGTAATTTGGTCTGTGCACGACCTATCCTTACGGAATCCAGCTTGTTGATCTCGAAGTTGAGGGTCTACTGAGTCATCCGGTTCAGCAACACTCATTTGAAAACTTCCTGGTACTTACAGTAGTGTAATGCCTCTGCAGTCCTCATATTTGCTCAGATCTCCTTGATGAGGTATTTTTCTTTCCAGTCTGTCGGCACTTGTTCTCCCTCGCAAATCTTCATCAATAGAAGGTGAAGCATATTTGCAGTCACTTCTATGTCTAACATTAGTGCTTCAGCTGATATACTGTCAGGTCCTATTCCTTTCGCACTCGTCATTTCTCTGATGACCATCATGATTTCTTCGATCGTTGGTGGAGTGATATCTATGAGGTCTGTGTGTGCTGCTTCGATTTCCGGTGGATTCAATGGAGCTGGTCTATTCAACAGTTCCTCGAAGCACTCTACCTATCTGTTCCCCTGTTCTTGAATCTCCATGATTGTCTTTTCTTCTTTATCCTAGACTGGTCTCTCTGGTTTACAATATCTCCCTGCTAGTTTCTTCGTTGTGTCATATGGTTGTTTCATATTACCTTCTCTTGCAGCTTTTTACACTTTCGCTGCTAGTTCTTCCGCGTATTTCTGCTTGTCGACTCTAATGATCTTCTTCACTTGCTTGTCTACTTCTATGTATTCAGCTTGTGCCTTAATTTTCTGTTTCTTGTTCGGCTGCTCTTAATTGCTGTCTTCTTGTTCTTTCTTTCCTTCTTGAATCTTGTGTGGGGTTTTGATAGTGATCCGTTCACAATTGATTGATCACTGGGTGGTGATCAATGTCATGCTTGTCTAGTCCTTATTAGTGCAGATCGAATGCTATCGATCATGTTGCAATGTGGCCACCAGTCTAGGTGACTCGACACTGCGGGCACTATGTATTGAGATTTAGATGGTGGTTGGAGGTAGTCAACAGGAAACCCTGGACCCGGGTTTCGTGCTACTTGGCACTCGTCAGCAAGGTGTACCTGTAATCTTGAGGGAACTGGTGCTCCCTGGCGGATTCGATCTCGTGACACTCAGCTTCACAGTCAGAGACGTTACCACTGAGCTATCCGAGCCGTGACTAACCTCCTGTAGGACTGAGATGTAATCATAATTGATTGATCACTGGGTGGTGATCGATGTCATGCTTGTCTAGTCTTGTCTAATCTCAATACATAGTGCCCGCAGTGTCGAGTCACCTAGACTGGTGGCCACATTGCAACATGATCGATAGCATTCGATCTGCACTAATAAGGACTAGACAAGCATGACATTGATCACCACCCAGTGATCAATCAATTATGATTACATCTCAGTCCTACAGGAGGTTAGTCACGGCTCGGATAGCTCAGTGGTAACGTCTCTGACTGTGAAGCTGGGTGACACGAGATCGAATCCGCCAGGGAGCACCAGTTCCCTCAAGATTACAGGTACACCTTGCTGACGAGTGCCAAGTAGCACGAAACCCGGGTCCAGGGTTTCCTGTTGACTACCTCCAACCACCATCTAAATAGTGATCCGTTCCTTATGATGTTTCTTGTAAACGAGCACCTCCTGACATGTTGAAGTTAGTTCTTCTTTGATCCCTTTCTAATCGTCCTCCATAGTAGCTTGTTGTTTTTCTTTCAGTAGATCCTGTAAGGCTTGGGACCTGTTGTTAAGAGTTATCTTAAATTCGTTGAGTTTATCAGTGTGTCGAAGGAAGGCTGTATTGAACTTTTGTAATGCTGTTCCCTCAGCTGTCCAATGCTTCCTTAACTTCAGTTTCGTATTGGCCACAACCAGGTGGTGATAAAAGGCTATGTCAGCTCCTCTCCTGGTTCTCACATCTTCCATTGACCTTGAGAATTTTTTATTGATACAAATATGATCTATCTGGTTCTCTGTGGTGTGGTCCGGTGAGACCCATGTAGCTTGGTGTATGCGTTTGTGTGGGAATATTATGCCACCTATAACTAATTTGTTGAATGCACATAGATTTGCAAATCCCTTGCCATTCTCGTTCCTTTCTCATAGTCCATGTCGTCCCATGATATCTTCATAATCGTTGGTGTTTATCCCGACTTTGGCGTTTAGATCTTCCATCAGGATGGTCAGGTCTTTTCCTGGGCACTTCGCTATGATCCATTGCAGCTTCTCGTAGAACTGATCTTTATCGTCGTCATTGCTATCATTAGTGCGTGCATCACATTGAATAACATTTATTGTAATTCCCGCCTTCTTTGTTTTGAATGATGCTTTGATGATCCTGGGTCCATGAGATTCCCATCCTACAAGCGCATTTTCGTGCTTCTTTGGACAGCATCAGAGCAACTCCCTGAGTGTGTGGAGCATTTTCCTCTTCGTGACCGGAGTACAGCAACATCTCTCACGTATCTATGCCTTTGCTGTCCAGCTTGGGTCCAATGGGTTTCGCTGACTCCGAGAACCGCCAAATTGTATCTCCTCATTTCCGTTGCTATTTGACTGATACTCCCGGTCTCCCACATAGTCCGGACGTCCCATGTACCTATAAAAATTGTTGCTCTGGTTGTTAAAAGGGGCGTCAGCCTCGCGACTTACGAAGAATCTCGGCTTTCTTCATGAGGCGTCATCATTCTTCCTTCAACTCCCAGGGCAGAGTCTAAATGGTTAGTTTGTTTATTCTGGTTAGCGTTTTTTTAGCAAGGTTGTTTTCTAAGGGATGGGGTTGCTGACCCCATGCCCAACCCTCCCCCTTTAACCTGGCGTGGGACCGGCAGTAACTCTAGAAGTGCTACATGCGGAGTTTTTAGCTAATATCTAGAAAGTGGATGTAAATCCATCTAACTGGTCGCAATCACTGACCGTCTCAATATATAAGAAAGTATCAAATCCATCCTGTGATAACTATAGAGGGATTTCTTTAACTAATATAGCATCTAAAATAATAACGTTAATGATTATCGGACTCCTAACAAAAAGTCGCGAACTGTAAACATGAGAAAATCGGGCCCGTTTCAAACCTGATCATTTATTCAAACACATAAACATGGAAACAAGAGGCGCCAAATTCATATGTCCCACACAATTATCATTGATTTGTTTGAGAGCTAAGATACTGCCTAGGTATCCAAACTGAAGCAAGTGGTTTCATTAGGGGGTCCCACTCCAAGCCTTTGATTTAAAGGTCTAATCCTCAAGGCAGTGGAGCAACGATGGGACCGGTCACCAACAATACGTTCATACACCATTTGTTCTCTCAGGATCCTGGAGTCCATGTGCACCATTGGCTTGGAATCATGGGTTTACCAACTTCCCTAAGTGGACTCTCCGTGCCCACCAACACGGTTAAAGAGCCGGAAAATCGTTTGTTGTCCTCTCAATTTCGTAAAGGATATCCCCATGGAGAGAAGTTAGAAAGAAGGCTTAATGGCAGTAGCTGCAAATGCAAAGCCATGTGAGAGCATTTTTAGAAGGAGAGCGGTCTATCCCCACTCTCGACCGTACCGCATGTAGGGGGTGAGACCTGGTAGTGGATGCATCGACCACATATTCACCATTCGTCAGGTTTGAGAACACAGGCATGCTTATCGGCGTCCGACAATGGTGGTCTTTCTTGACTTAAAAGCAGCATTTGACTCTGTTGACCGAGAGGTTCTGTGGCAGTGTGTCATTGAAAGGTGTAGTTCAGAAGTGCATAAACCTTGTGAAGGCTCTTTACTCGAACACTACCAGTTTAGTCAGAGGTTATGACGAACTGTCATCTGATTTTTCAACCTCAAGTGGTGTTCGTCAAGGCTGTCCACTATCTCCATTTTTGTTCAATTTCATCATAGATCTACTGATGGAAACAATGTTCTCGTTGACTGAATTTTCGGGAATTGATCTCCTACCAGGAGGTCCGTTTATCGACTTAGAATACGCAATGATATAGTTCGGTTTGGTGAAGACGCTGATAAAATGCCCAGGATGTTTGTGATGCGTTTCTCTCGCTCTAATTGCGAATTGTTGCTTCAGGACTGGTCCGTGTCAACACCTGAACTAAGA